TGGTATTTCTTGATTCTTTTACGACCTTTATTAAGTTTATTAGCAGCCTTAGGTCTTATTAATTACTCCTTTGCTTTGACAATTACTGCTGCTTTTTGTATCAACCTTTTAATGTAAGCGGATTATACTGGTCATGTTGTCGGATATTATCGTCCTCCTGTGTAGTAGTCAGTAGAGTCAGCGAAGTATGTTTACTTGTTCCATTCATACATATTTATATCACACACATGTACATACTCACTTTTACGCTTGTCTTCCTCTACCTGACATACTTGAGTCTCTTCTAGCACTTGCAACTAACTGTCTTTTCATACATTCTTCGTTTGTTGTTAACGTTTTTAACCTGGGCTTTTTTAAGAATATAATTTATATTATCTTTCAAATAATCCACCCATCCTTTTTATGGTCTTCTTCTCTAAGTATAGGCGGCCACATTTATCAGCTTCCAAGTTACTCTCATCATCCATCCGCAAATTAATAACATATCTTCTGTTAGCGGCCAAGAAAATAACGGGTATTTAAGAAAAACCCTATAGATATTAGAAAAAACTCAACAGTCGACCTCGATGTTTTGAGATCGGAAAGGCACGGGAAATCCCATTGTCTGGCACTCTATCTCATCATTGATTTTAATTTATTTTATAAATAGTTTAATGTTGAATCAATGTGAAATCAATTAATACATGAATTTAAACTTCATGGTATTCTTGAAACCTGTAATACATTTAACTTGGTAGGTTAAAAGCTAACACGTCTACTTACAGGAGACCTGTATTAGCAGTGTGACGTACAAGGCTGACACAAAGATGAAAGTTGTTTTTGCAACAAGTACGAGTATGTAAACTAATCTCTTAACTTACGAATAGAAAACAAAAGTTATTCAATCAACAATATGACATAAATGGTGACAACGATGTCCTGTATATAGCAATACTATTCAATTGTTGAATGATAAAAGAAAACAAACCTTCAATTGATTTGGTAATTGATGCATCATAGTCGGTCATCATCTATTTGACATTGTTTCAAGCATTCATTGAAAACCTCTAAGGATAAGCAATGTGTATTTGTGTAATTAACAATAAGGTATTATACAAGGACCGAAAATAATGAAATAATAACATTTTAAAAATAGTTAAATATTTACAGAAGTTTAGTCTACAGAAGTTGAAGTTATCATAAATATTTTTTAGATATATTACAATAGAGAATCAAAGATTTCCCGGAACTCAATACCTAAATAAACAGTGGAATAATTTTACGCGAGTGTAAGTGCAATTTATAATAAAGATAAAATATGCAGGCTCACGCTAGTTCAACGCGAAGCGATAACAAAACAAATCGGAAGAGTTACACAATTTTTACATTTTTGTTACTGTACAAATCAACGGAACAGGAAAAACAAGAGGCATCGCTCCGGCACTAAAATATATCATCGACACATGACCTACTTTTCTCAACATTCAAATAATGTTGCCAAATTTACATAGAAGATTGACAAAAAATAATGAATTTTTAGATGGAAATAGTTTGTAAATGTAAATAGTTTAAATATCACTCTTGGAGTGATATTTAAAAGGAATGACAAAGTACAATCCATAAAAATAAATATACTTATCCGTGTAAACAGAAATTCCTACAACAAAATTCAAACACGTACCAAACATAAATTTTAATAAAACAGGACCAAAAGCAAATAGTCATGAATCATTCTTGTAACACAAGATGCTTAAAAACTCACAAGGACTTACGCTAACATATCAAGTGGTTAAAAACATTAATTAAGGTTATAAGTAGTTATAACAGAGGCGCGGCATACAGAAAGCTCTAACCAAGTTTATTTTTCATTCATACAGATGACAAATACATGCGTCCGACTTACTAACACAGATAAGTCGTCTAACAAAATAAAGCGAGCAACAAAAACAAACCGTAAAGTACAGTTGGATAAAGTCGAGGTTCTCACAAAAGCATTCGATAATGATGCACATGGGGTTATAGTAAACAGAGAGGCGAGTCGCCGGCGCAGCTCGACCGCCAGTCGCGCGTTGATTTCAGTCGGGAGCGGGCTATTCAAAGGCACGCGCCGGTTGTTCGAGCACACGCGTCGATTTTCGAATTTTTAATTATTATTAGCGGTGTACCACAAGGGTGCGTTTAAAGACCAGTGTTTCATATTTTATACAAGTTATTTCTGAATCGATTAGTGTCTGTGTTGTTTAGTGAAGATCGAAAGCATTCGATGGTCCACAGATGCTGTATTACATGGTGAGTGCTATTCAAATATTTCTTGCACACGATGCATTTGAAAGAGACCATTGTTTAAGTCGGCAAGTTCTTTTTTTTAAACAAGTATCAATAGCACTCCCATCTCTTAGTTTCTTTATCAAACTTCTAATTAAGGAATAGTTGTAAAATTGTAATCTTTATGTTTGAAGTAGTAAAGATTTTATGACTTTTAAACTGTAAATGTAAATTTTAAAGATAGTGCAATGTTTACCGTCTATAGGAATAGATATTTGTAGAAGTGTACTTGAACTTCGTTGGCTGGTTTTGTTTACATTCGATCCGTTATCAGAATCGTTACGTCTTAACAGGAATTTTACGATAATTCCTATGAGTCAGTTTTCAAGAGCAAATTTTCTTATAACAACATATTGTTTATGGAATATTTTTGTTGGATTTCGTTTTCGAGACATAGTTGATGGTGTTTTTAGACAAATTTCTTATCTATTGTTGGCTAATGATGATATACATCATTGATAAAATTTCGTTCGGATATTTGTACATATCAACACTAAGCAACTGCCTGTTATGTTAATCATATTATTATTTAAATTACCTATCTCATTTTGCATAATCATGACCTATATCAATTTGCGTATGTCACTGAGAGTATGGGTTTCTACGTTAATCGATACTTGTTTCGGCATTTATTTTAAAATCAGCTGTTTCTCGTTGGTTGTCAGAGAAAGTTTAACTTTGAAGCGTAATGCGAGGTTTTTACCTGTTTTTACCTGTACAAACAGCGGGATCTTTAAGTTTCTTAGTACTGTTTTAAATTGTTAAAGAATTTCGGCTATTTCTGCAATCTTTCAATTTATTTTATAAAACACAGGTTGATGGAAGCGTAGCGTTACAATTGTGATTTTTTTATAAACATTAATATTACTCACTGTATAGCTGAATGAACAGAGTGCACCATAAAAGTTCTCAGTGGCTCAGTATTATGAATTAAATTTATTAAATTTATAATTGTTTCCATCTACGCGCGTGATTTATCTATCCACAACATATGTTCTACTCAGTATATGCTAAGATTGCTCTCGTGCCACACATCAATTATAACATTTTCGATTACGTTTTTATTATTTATTTAAAAGTTACATATTTTTTCTCTATTTTAAGTTTTCTCAATTATATCAATGTTATATTTTGCGTGTTTGGTTTCAAAGTGATTATTTAAATTTTATTGAACGATTGTTTATACAGAGTTATGTAGATGATGTAGAGATGTGCATTCTGACTTCATTTGATCTTCTCCAAATTACTTTTAAAAATGAAACAATTTTTTTTTTGAATCTAAATCTACATTTTTAAAACAAACTAACGTTTTGGGCCCTTTAGAGGTGATCGTTGAATTTCTAATGTGCAACATCTGCGAAAACCTAAGAATTCCTGTAGTTGTTTAAATATCATTTCAAGTTCACTTAAATGTAGTAAAATACAGTCTGGGTTTTACCTGATAGATCTCGGGTTCAATTCTTGGTACAAATTAGGGATACTTTTAGCACCTACAGAATGAATTGAATACTCTGGTTGATACTTCAAAGTACAGGACAAAGGAGTGAAAGAAAGGTGGTCAATGGAATTGCTCGGTATATCCATTTATGATTATTAAAATAAACTGAAGCAACAGACAAAATTGATATAATGTGTATCAAAATCCAGTGTCTTGAACTAAATTTCTAAGTTTACGTCATTGCTACACATTGAAAATTATTTTTTTTTTTCAAATTTAAAATCACATGAGTTTTTGAACAAACCAACGTTTCGGACTTTTTAAAAGTTTCATTTGTAAGAAAATTTAATAGTTATACTCGTATATATTTAGTTCCAATTACAATAAAGTTTCTTCTAAATACACCACCGTTATGAGTAATTGTTATTTATACAACATAATACAAGTATGTAAACTACGTCTTTGAAATTCAAGTAAATATTGTCTACTTATTTCGATTTCTTGTGAAGACAGTCGAAGATATTAAAGTAACGTGGCCAGGTTCTAATTCTAACGCAATTGTCTATCAAAACGAGAGAAGAGGTATTTCGATATTTTGTCTCCAAGCCGCTTTGTCAAAATCACGAAACTCTATTTGTTGCTAAAACACAACTAGTCTCCATTCTGGTTGGAAATAAAAACCTTGGTACTCGGCATTACAAATTATTTATGTTAAAATGTGCAAGTGCAAGTGACCCAGAAAGTGTGTTCATAATTTTTTCATTCTCAAGTGGTTTCGACGAAACAATCTTATCTTTAAGCCTTTTATCTTTATCAGTAGCATAATTATCAACGATACTGAGAAACTGAAGTGTTAATTCTAGTGCTTATTCGATTTCGCTGATTTGCGCACGTGTTTTAAACAGGATTATATAAAGCTGTGAACATTTTTATCGCAATGTTTATTATCTGTTATTTTTTTATTGATTACTTTCTTAAGGGACAAAAGAATTTTATACGTACTTTAAGATAATATTGTTATATCAATATTTATGTTATTTCATGAATAGGCAGCTTTCCTACCGATGTATTTTATGATTCCTTATTTCAGCCATAGTTTCTAAATGACAATCTAAATTCTCCTGCTTTAAAATAAAGTCATAATCTGTTTCTTAGAAAGAAAGAAAGAAAGAAAAATAATTTATTTGGCAACATTTTACAATAAATAATACAAAACAAACACAATCATACATTATATGTTACCAAAACGGTCACCACTCAGCTTTGTGTAGTGAGACGTTGAAGAACGCCTCATTACGCTGTTTTTCAGTGGCACCATAAATGGACAAAAAGAAAGATGGCGCCTCGTCCAAAAAGGCGGTAAGATAAAATAAACAAAAAAGAAATATAAAGATTAGGTATAAAACTTAATTACAAATATAAATCAAAACTTAAAATATTAAACAAAACCATAAACTAATCCTAACATAGATACATAATAATAAAAATGAAATAAATACCAAAAATGTGATTATAATGTAGTGTAAGTGAGGTGAGTATACGTAGTGTAAGTGAGGTGAGTATATGAAGTGTAAGTGAGGTGAGTATATGTAGTGTAAGTGAGGTGATTAGTGTTAACACATTGTACAAATTGGCTCTAATCACTTTTTAAGAACTTTGCAAGCAATGCAGGACTACCTATGTAGTGAGATTATAATTGAGTTGATAATAAAAACTTCTTATAGGCTAATTTAAAAGAGGCAACAGATTTGGAGTTTCGTATTGGTGGTGGTATATCGTTCCAACGTAACGATTAGCTTGTTATCTTAAAAGTAGTCGTTAACAATTACTAAATCATTGTATAATTATATTCTTTTATTATTTCCATTTGTTCTCTTTATAGTAGTGGGAAGTATATAGTTTCTTCAGGACCATTTTTCATTTTGTGGTAATGTTACATCCTCAATATCACTAATATCTTTTAGTCCAGACGACTATTTTTTCCATATATATATAGAAATGCTAGAGCTCTACTAGGCAGCCTCCTAGGACCAGAAGGCTGACAGGTACTGTCGCAAAAGGATGAGCTTAGCCACCCAAAGGGGAAACTAGCAAAGCTTTCTTGACATCTACTGTGAACATTACTGCGATCCAGTTTTGAAGGATGCTGGTGAAATTGCTGGCACATGGATCTTTTCAACTTATGTCTCTGGGTGACTGGCCCTTCAGATCTTTGCGATTTAAAGTTCTCTGTGGCACGGAATCAATTTACGTTTCTTAACTTTTCTTTTACTGCAACTGCTATGGACAGGCGTGTTTCTTACCACCAACCGCTTGACATGTTCATCCCGTCACTTCGTATCATGATAATAATATAAAAAAATAAAGTATTTTTAAATCGCTTCCCAATCTACACATACAAATACGAAATTAATTTTACAAATTAGAATGTCTAAAAGAAAGATTAGTCACGTGTAGGACCATAACAATGGTGTTAATTTAGTTGTTTAGATATATAATAGACATAATAAAACATTGTACCATTTACAACCCGACGAAATTAACTTACCATGAAATATATTCAATTGTACAATTTTATGAATGACGAAGAAAAATATTTTTCGTGGATGTACAGAATTTTGAAGAAACAAATATATCAAAATCAAATCATCTTTATATCGTAAGTAAGCAAATTACACTTGATATCGTCATATTGTTTTAGCTCTACTGCTCATTCGTAAGGCCCCGAAAAGAATATGCAAGAAACACTAGGGTTTGCTCTTTGTAAATATACATTTATCATTTACAACATTTATTGCAAACATCTTAGATCGAGAATACCGGCAATACCCAACGGGTCACTAGCATGGATTTTTGTCATTCAAGTACGCAGAAGCTGTGTAATAACCTCATTGAATGTGTAGGTTTATCCATGACATGCTCGCAGACTGCAGACTTGTTTACGCGACGACGGTAGGTCTTCGCTCGACTGCCATTATACCTTATGTGAGAGGTGTTACGGACAAGATCGGAAGAGTCTTCAGTCGTGCATCTATCAAGACCTATTTCAAGCCCCTGGGGAAGATTTCTCAGTTCCTCAGACCCGTGAAATGTAACATCCTCTTACAGGATGCAGGAGTTTACAAGCTTGACTGTGAGTGCAGTCTCTCTTATATTGGACAATCGAAGCGAAGTATTTGTACCCGCGTCAAAGAACATATAGCTGATGTCAAACACCGTCGCGTAAACACGTCTGCAGTGTGCGAGTATGTCATGGATAACCCTATACATTTAATCGAGTTTGACAAACCCCAGGTCTTTATTGTGTAATATTAATGTAATAACCTATAGTATAAAGTGTTTGTTTAACTGTAGTTTTTAATTTCGTAATCTTATATTATGTAACTTGTGTACACGACAATCAAGCACTTGTATTTCGTTAGTTCGACATTCTGTCTAGTATGTTTTTCGCTTTTCCACATTGAGCATATTTAGTACACTATTTCCATAATTCATTAGTAATCATAAGTACGGTATTTAGAATGCCACCTGCTACCCAAAGTTTAAACGCTAACTAACAAAAGGGATAATAGCCATCCTATTATTCTATCGTACAATAGATTGCAATGGTTAACAAATTTCTATACGTAATTTTCGTTTGTATGCCCCCTCTACAACAAGACCAATTAAATATTACCTTTGAAGTTTAAATTTTTTAATAGTAGATATTAAGCAATGAGACGCTGTTTACAAAATGTATTTTTTTTGTTTAAATAACAAATAGTTTGTAATACTTCTATGCCATACAAGCGATCGCTTCTCCAATCTACAGATCTTTATGCGTTTGTTACAAATCTTTATTTTTAATTTTTTGTCGTAGCGCCATCTGTGAGAATTATATGAAAGTTTTTCTTCATTTACCGAAGTACCTTTATAGCTACCAACGATTGACACGAGATGTCACTTTATAAATTATAATAGTTCGACAATTGTAATTACTTCACGACAGCTGATCCAATTTCACAAAATATTAATATATATGTATGTAATGTCGTGGTAGTGTCATAGCATTTACTACAATTAATATTATTTTAGTAGTTGTAGAGCACCGTGTGAAAGAGTTCGTCCAAAGAAGTGCTGCCATCTTACCTATATCTACCGCCAAGCATTAATGTTAGCATTAATGCGTTCCGGTTTTGAAGGGTAAGGGCGCGGGTGAAATTACAGGCACATGGGACTTGTCAACTTGTGATGACGGGCGCAGTGGCAGTACCCCTTAGATCTTTGCGAATTTAAAGGTCTGAGTTCAAAGGACAGGCGTGTAGCTTACCATCAGACGAACGACTCGTTGTTGCGAAAATTAAAGAAAACTTATTTTTCTATTATTACCCATTAATTTAATATAATCATCATTAGGAATATTATGACCCTAATCGTCCCACTGCAGAACGTGGATCTCTTCTATGGAGAGGGTTAAGGCTGTAGTCCATAGCCTAGGTTAGTTAGAAGAATGTGTATACAAACATTTGCAAATACTTCATTTAGAAATAAAAGTCATAGGTACATAGGCACGGAGATTCGAACCTATTACCACTCTTAATAATGACACAGTTCAACTAAAACTGGCTTTAGCATAAGTAGAAATGACAATTTTGACTCGTCCCCATTTTTAAAGGCCTGCCCTGATTTATAAATTAAAATAATAAAAGTCAACCATGACGGACCCTTTCGATGGAAAGTGTGCCGGCTGGCAAACGATAAGTTCCGGGTTCAATTCCCTACTCAGACTGATTGTCCTGACAAAGTAGGGTGTGCAAATCGATAATGCAATTTTATTGTTAAATTCACCGACATGTTTAATTTGTTTTTTTTTGGTTTAGACGTTTCGTACCAAACTCATGTTTTCAGTTATAATAATATTATAATTTTAAATAATTGCCTCCGTGAAATATTTGTATGGCGTACATTTGTTTTTCTCGTGAATTTGCGTGTAATTTATGGTTGTCTATTTGTGTGTTCATGGCAACTACGGTGCTGAGTTTCCCTAGTGCGGAGTTATGTGTGTATCAATCAATCAATCAGCCTATAGCAGTCCAATGCTGGACGTAAGCCTCCACAAGTGTACAAGTCGTGTGTGTTAAATCGTGGGTAGAAACGGCGACTACGGAATCTGGTATACTTCCCTATTTATTCCCCATAATTATTACAAAATCGATGTAAAACAATCCACACTGTACCCACCTTGCAATCCTATGGATTTTCATTACAATTCGATTTTTATGAAGATCAGTTCAAGTGCATACGATTTAACGATTTTTTGTATCGATTTATTTCAATTTTCAAGCTAATAGATTCGATAGAAAGACAAATCGAATCGTCGAGTAATGTAAAGCAATAAAGTTATAATTTATGAACAAAACTCGATTTACAATAAATATTTAGTTGCTTGTAGTTTTTGTCCTCGATTTCGGTCGTTAATGGGTTTTATCCCGATTTAAACCCGACATTAACAAAGCGCCGATTTAAAGCCCGGGCGCTTATTCGCCATCTCTGGTAGTCCATGTCCTGTATACACTTGACATTGTTACTTTAATTCAATTATTTATTAGTTTCATTAATTATGTTAACTTGTATAAGTACACTATTGTATACTTACATCGAGTATTTAACCAGAAATAGAGACGAAATGTCATTTAATTTGTTTGAAAACTATTCTGCCAAATCATTACGATGACAACTGCGTTCCCATTGGCCAGCCCGAATTCGAAACAATTGACGGGTGTCGTCAATTGTTTCACTTCAAATCGACCAGTTTAACTTGAGCTTTGCTATAATAGACGAAAATTGAAAAATTACTTATTTAACATTTAATTACCGATGAAATGTTATTCCGTTTGTTTTGTAATTAGATGTTTTGCTGTTTTTGCCATACCACCGAATGGAACAGCCCCCCATTTTAGAGATATTTTCTTTATAACAATAAATACAGAATATTTTTGGAATATAGGGAGATGTACACACAGGTCAGTTGTTGGCGCTGTACTATTTCGGCTTTTTATTTGTGATTTCAGCGCAAACGAGAGTTGATATTTAAAGGTATTACAAGGCCCATTTACCTGATGAGGTACCAGTGATGGATGGCCCTTAGTCCGTCTCTTTTTTCTGGTTATATACTCAATGTGTACTTACAACTTACTACTGTATCATAATTTTTTAATTATTTAGTAAACTGACGCTCACTTTTCGAAGAGTAGTATAAAATGACATGTATTTATAATTTGTAATGTTGAGAGAAATAACGTAACCTAAACTGAACTATTATCGTGTAATTATTAAATAATATCGCACGATAAAAAAATAGAATATTTGACTATTCAAAA